ACGTGTGGGGGTAGGAAGTGTCTAAAGTGTTTCGACCGTCTGATGTATAGTACTGATAAACTATAATGGCAGCCACAGTTTGTAGTTTGAATTCCCAAATAGGACAGTACAACAGAAGATTAAATAAGAACCTGCCTGCTTTCTTTTTTCTTTTTCTTTTTTTGAATGATAAGTAGTTTGTGCCCTTAAGCAAGGAATTTGTGTATGTGTGTGTGTGTGTGTGTGTGTGAGAGAGAGAGAAAGAATTATGATGCTGTGAGAAAACAACATGTGGTCTGTCAACCTTAAGGGTTAAAAATAATATTTACAGAGATGTGGTTGACATGACAAGGATGTAAAGTACCTTCTGGGTTTTTCTGTCACCTTCTTTATTCTGCTAACACTCCAACTCAAACCCTATTACACACACTCATGTAAAACAAAAGAGGAAGTGTGAGAGTGATCTCAAAGTGAATTATCTATACTGCTTATTCCTGAATAGGGTAGCGGGGGGGCTGGAGCCAATCCCAGCTCACACTGGGTGAGAGGCAGGGTCCACCCTGGCAGGTCACCACTCTGTCACAGGGCTGACATGTAGACAAACAACCACACACACTCACACTCACTCCTACGGGCAATGTAGTCAACCTAAGCTGCATGTCTTTGTACTGTGGGAGGAAGCTGGAGTACCTGGAGAGAACCCACGCAGGCACAAGGAGAACATGTAGACTCCACACAGACAGGCTAACCGCTGTTCCACCATGCCACTGTGAATTGTACACTTTAGCCTTTTCTTTCTTTCTTTATCTACTTTATTTGATCCTGTTCTTTCTTTAGGTGTTTATGACTTTGCCTTTGTAAAACCTTTCTTTTTCTTCTTTGGTAAATATCTTGTTTCTTTTTTTTGCTAATGAAACCATTAAGCAACCTTCTTGTGTTCACTCATCACCTCCAGAAAACTTTACTGGTATGCTTTTTGTACAGACATGCCTTTTCACACATGTACTGTTTCTCTTGTTCACACAAACACAAAGGCTGAAATGTGATAGCTGTGTGGGTGATAACAAAGAGGAAGGGAGTGTTCCTCTGTCTTTGTTCTGTTAGCGCTGGTAAACCATGACATCAGTGTACACCTGTGTGGCCAGGAGTCTGAAGACCTGTTTGAGTTTCATGCCACTTGTCTGACACAAACTTCAAAGGGCTCTTTGAGAGTAAAGACTTGGTTTTAGGGTTCAGGTTAGGTTAGGTTAGGGGGATGAATCTAGCTCAGCGGCCCATCCTGCTTGGTTTCGATTCTTGTGAAAGTTTGCGCTTCTCTGTGTACTCTGTGTTTTTCACCACTGTACACATGTCAGCAGCTCCACAGTTGGCTGCCTTCCTCAATAACACATTAATGTAGGAATATATCATTTTACTTTAAACTGAAGTTTCCTTCAACAAGAGTTATCATCACAGGGACACCCCTCCCACCCCCACCCCAGTCACTTTCTTAAGCCCCTTTCAGACATGCACTCTCTCCTCTCTGATGCTAATCTGAATGTGTCAGCTTCATGTCTGAACTAACCGCCTGGTCACTTTTCTGTAAAAGTCACTTGAGCAATCTCGCTAGGTCGGACCTAGAAACGTTTACATAGCACTTTCAACATAGACATATGGCATATGACAAATAAAACGCAAATACAGTGACTCTCTCCATCACGGCGGTGGGTGTGTCTGACTGAAGCTGTGAGGAGCAATCATGTAAAAGTGACCTATGTCTGAATGACAGGAAGCTGTTAACAGACTGATGAAGCCAGTGATGTTAGACCATTAATATCTATCTGTGTAACTGTTGACTGGTTAGGTAAACAGTAGGGATTGGCATTTCAGGTTAAAATGATATTCAATATTTGCTGGGAACTATTTGACAGTTATTCGAAGATCATGGAAACACAGCTCTTGTAAAACATCCATGGTTTTATCACAGAAGGCTTCATTCATCAGTCTGTGAAAAATGAAAACATGTTCCCTTGGTTTTCTGTTTACATTCAATATATGTAGGTATTCATGCTGCACTGGAGATTAAACTTTTCAAATGGACTTTTAAGAAAATAAAATGCAAAGTATGTGTGTTTCCATCCACTAACCAAGGGGAGTTAATAGTTGGTGGCACTAATTCCCCAGTCAAGTGCTGTTAAACCGCTGCAGAAGATGGTGCACTGAGATGATATGATTAAAAGAGCACCAGTCAAATCTCGGTTATGCAACATGCATGTGCTTCTGGTGAGGTTGAAGAACTCAAATGGTTCAGACTGCTGAGAGGCAAAGGCTAAAACTGATATAAGATACATTATGTTTTATGGTAGTGGACTATAAAGGAACAACATGCTTCTTTTTTGTTCATGTACTGAATTTATGTTGACTCACGGCTTCATCTGCAAAGAGAACAGATTTTTATTTGCATGAAAATGTTGCAGGTCTAACTTGCAGTGTTACCAGAATCATCGACCATTCTGCCCCAGTCACTCGTGCTCTGGAGTGTTGGCATCAAACACACACACGCACACATACAGGTCAGTGGCCCATGTCTGTCTCCATGCTGGCAGATATACACAGAGGCGACAGCTGGAGGCTAATGTTAGCTGAGCTGGAGTTTCACTGTTTCACAGAAATTTAAAAATAACAAATGCATCCAATCTAATAATGATGGCGTTGACCTGGACTTTTCTGCCTGGCAAGCCAACATCGCTGAGTGTGTTTGCATGTGTGTGTGTGCACTTCTGTGTGCAACCATACGCTATGTGTATTTGGCCCTGTGGCCAACTCTTTCAGGCTCATAGGTCTTAACATTGTTAGGTTATTTCTTAGTTAGATAGATATTCAGAGATTTGTTGTCTAGAAATGTTTAGTGGAGACAAGATGTCTAGCTCAGGCTGTTAACTGCTCAGTTTAATTTCATGTGCTTGCAGTGCAGACTGCCTGTAGGCCAATGTTGCAGGCAAAGAGCTGTTGGTATTAACTGTAATGTTAATCTTAATATTTGTCTTAATGTGAAATGTCATGTCAAATTGTTCTAGATACACACCACAAAAACAACAGCCACACACCTTGACTTTTCCCCATGTTTTGGCTAACGTTATGGTCAGCTGCAAGCTGGCATATCAGGTGACGTCACGGTTTGACGCCCTGCGTAGTATGGGCTAGCCCAAAATGATTAAAATTATATAGGTTTCATGGTCCAGGGTCTTGGGTCTTCCGGGCTGCCTGCGAGCAGCTTTGGGGGTGGAAGATGCCTGGACGTGTAATGTTAATTCTTGCCTGTGACCCTTTGAATAAACCAGCACGGTTATATTTTTTTATATACTCAAGTGGTCTGCTTCGTCTCACTGAGTTCCTGGTTTGAAAGAACCGGACCTGGCTTTATAATAGATTAAAGCCTTTAACATCATGATGTGTATCTGAGATTGGAGCAGTTATCTGCACTGTGTTCTGTTTTTAAAGAAAGATTTAGGTAGAAAATATATGATGAAAGGTATTTTTACAGTTTGTAAGAAACTAATATTGGTCATAAAAATCTCCTGCAAATCTAGCAATTCAGGGACTCGGGGTCTTTAGTCCAGATCCCACATTAGAAAAACCTGTGAGTGCTGTTGTAATTATCTTTGTGTGTGTTTGCCCAATCACATGAGACATCACATTGCCCCGTCTGTCATCATACTCACTCTCTTTCACTTCCTCTATTCTACATCTTGGTCTCTTCTACTGTGCCTTCTTGAAATTCTCTCTCTTTGCCTCTCCTCTTGCTTCTTTTCACCTGTCTCTTCACTTAAAGCCTGTTTATGGTGTTGAAATTCATCTCAGTGACACATCTCTCTGTTTTCTCTGCTGTCCACCCCCACCCCCCGGTCTTAATTAAAATTAGGACTATTATTACCATCTCTGATAAACAGAGACACACAGAGGGTGAAGAAATCTCTAGCAATATGGAGGCTAAGATCGCCAAAGCAGTTTGCAAAATGTTCCTGAATCCAAAGCCCAACATTTAGTCAAATCCTATAGACCTTTTTCCCAGTAGACATTCTGACATGGCATGGCTGGAAAAGCACAGGTGTACTTACAACAATCACGATGGCCGCATTCCATTCATGGGAGCCACGTCCAGGATCATGGTATTGTGCATGCTGGCTGAGTAGCATTGTGTAGTGGGACACTAAATGGAACTCACCCCCGTGGTTAATGTCGTTAGCTACACCTGTGCTTTTTCCTACTGTGAAATGTCTGCTGTGAAACAGGTCTGTTGAGAACAATAATGATTCGACTTAAAAGCTTTTACTGTGATTTGATTTGATTTTTAGAAATAGGATCCCCGTTAGCTGACGTATTGACATCAGCTACTCAGGTCCCCAAACTTAAAATCATCCACCCTCTATAAAGACAAACTTGCTTTGTGTAGCATTGTTTAAAACATTTATATGCACAATTGCCATACTAACTGTGCAACCACAGTGTGATTACCATAAACACAGATGATCACGTGAAGACAATGTTTAGCCTCTGACACCAGTGGTGGTGTTAGAGCTCAGGTTTCTCCCTATTCGGACTCATTTCTGTATGCTGGTAAAGCTCACTGAACTCTCTCAGATCTGTGTTAGGATCTAGCCCAGCTCTGCAAATGCAAGAAGGGGTTTCAGGCTTTTTTCTGAAGTTTCTCATGGGGTTTACAAAGTTATAGTAATGTGTCATAATGAACTGATTGGTTGATTCTAAAATGCTAGTGTGTGTACAGAAGTACAGGACTTAAGAATATCTTTGATGTACTTTGCTTGAGTATTTCAGTTATATGGCATTTTATACTTCTACTCCATTTCAAAGAGAAATATTTTGTACTCTTTACAGCGCTACATTAATTTTACAATAACTGCTACGACCTCTGGATACCCTCACCAGAGAGACAGTTAACATTTATTTGAAATGCCCAAAGAGGATACAGTTGCTTCTTTCATCTCTGTAAAGGACTTATCACAGTATCTTTCTCTCTGCAGTACACAGGTCCGATACCGGCCGAGCGAGAGGGCGAGCTGGCCATGGGGGGAGGTCGCAGCGAGACCTCAGCACTGAGCGGGACGGGAGGGGGCCAGGGCATGACCACTACCCAGAATTCCCAACGGCCTAATGCCTGCTGCTTTTGCTGGTGCTGCTGTTGCAGCTGCTCTTGGTAGGTGACAAAAACTGCATTTACACGCACAGACCCACACAAGCCAAGGCTTGCAGACACATGCACTTCTAATGTAAGCAAACACACACTGGCAGAAGCTGACTGGTGCTCTGGAGGTATGCTGTTCCTGTTAACACAGCTGTTAGAGACATGACACAGAGTGGCTTTATCATTGTTGGAATATATTTGACCACATTTGCAGAGTTTGGTGTAACATGTCATGTGATCTGACACCTTTCCAACTGTGTCAGTAAAGATTTAGCACTGTACATTACTGTAATCCATCTGCCTGAGGTTTTTTATGTATTAAGTGCCAACAATGAAAAAAGGACCCAATAAAGTTATGTTTTAGCTTTTGTTTAGGGCTAATGAATAGTTCTGTGTTAGGTGTTACAGTTGTCCTGCTGCAGATGCCTCCCCCACAACATCAATATGTTCTTATGTAACACCTGTTCATTAGCCCCTATACTAGATAGGGTTGTAATACATTATCACACTATGCTGTGCACTCATTATAAACCCAGAGTAATCCATTTTAAATGTTTTGTTCACTGTGATTTAGGGTCTTCAGAACTCTGTATTGTCTTTTATTTATTCATATATTTGATGGTTTGCAGTAGAAAATGGCTTTTCTGGATTGCAAAATACGTTTAGTGTTACAAAAGGAGCAGGCTACTGATCCTTAAAGTTGCTTTATCTTGTCATCACCTGCAGTAATTTGTACAGTCACAAACTTGTAGGAGGAAACACAACCAGTTCAAGCAGACCAATCACATTTCTCGTGGTTTCCACTTGTGATTTCCAAAAGGCGTCCCCATCACATTTGGAACAATTAATATACATTTTACTTTAATTAATAATAAGCTAAATTTGTATAATATGCATCTTATATACTAACTGATATCAAAAAGGCCCTACTGGATTTGATCCACCTCTCCAGTAAAGACAGCTAGATCAGGGCAGAAATAAAATATGAGTATGTGTCATATTCACAGTTGTGAGTGTGAAAAACACAGTCTGTTTAGAATGTCTACCTGGGAGATAATGATTGGGACACATATTTATTATTAATAATTGTAATATTGGAAAAATTTAAATTAGCTATGTACTAATAGTTGCCCCTTTTTAAAAAATGTGAGCCCCTGCCCCTGAAAAACTCTCTGCATGGCTGTGCACCACACTAAGTGTCAGCTAGATGGGGAATGGTGAGAAATCTATCAGATGCCAGGTGGGAGAAAGACATCACACCTACAAAAACATTCATTATATATTGTATTTGGACAAGCGTGTGCAACTACAACCTTGCCAAGTCGTGCTCTGTGCTATTCGCTTATCTCCCAGCGTGCCCCAGGGCAGTGTCAGTTTTGTCAGTGAAAGCTGTGTCAAATTTTGTTGATGCCCAGACGACAATTACTTTTTGAAAAATGAGACTTGCCTTTTGATGAACCTGCTTATTAAAACCATACCGTTTTGAATGCACTCACAAAAAAGTGCCTGTGGCCTTAGAGTAAAGCGAGAGCCTCCCACCAGAGCCTGTGGGGTACTCCACAGCCATTAGTTTTATAATCCCAATCTATGTACAAACACAGGCACACTCAGGAATACAAAGGACAGACCTGCTCTCAGTCATACACATTAGTCAGACTGTAGCTGCTGTACACTCATTAGGTCTCTATAGTTCCCACAGTGGAATTAATTATTTATAGTCCTCCTTCTCTATTACACACATACACAGACTATGTACTGTAGATACCCCGACACCTGTATGTGCTGCTTTCCCCTGCTGTTAACATAACTGTGCTTACTGTTGTCATTAACTACAACAGGAACATCACTGTGTGTGATTGTACACGTTTAGAGTTCTGACCCCTCTTCTGTCAGCAGTGGTTTCATATGTGTGTGTGCGTGCGTGTGTGTGTGTTTCTTGTCTGAAAGCTGCTTTATCATGTCAGTCTCACTGTCAGGAATGAAGAGGAGAGACGGAGGCGGAGGAGGAGAAAAAGAATATCACAGGACACCAAGATGGAAACCATACCCATCTGTGAAGCTTGGTGAGTCTGCAGAGCTAACACATCCCTGCACCAGGAAGGCCATTGTCAGTTTCTTTGTTTGGTAGCAGGTTCTCTTTAGATAATAGATTTGGATCAAATACGGCATATTACACTTAGGCAGTGGGCCAAGGGACAAATTATTAGATGCAGGATAAAATGTTCTTAACACACTGAATGTAGGTATAATTTAATATGTTGAGCATTCAGTAATTTCTCATGAACTCCTTCATCCACAATGAAAACAATACTAAATGTTCACACTCATGCTACAAGGCTATAGTGCTACACATGAAAACAAAATTGGTGGAATAGATGAACATGCTATTGTGCTACCTATGGCATACTAACATCCCACTTCAGCCAGCAGTGAATATTTGACATTCTAATATTAGTATATACTGTTTAACATGTTAGCAAGTCAAAGAATAAGGCTGGTCATACCCTATTTTCTTCTTATTTTTAACAGATCTCATGAAAAGATCAAAACCATCAATATGCTCATCAGCTATACTTTGCAACTTCCCATCCTGAGCATGGCCGAGCCTGTTCCTTTATGCTATACACATAACACTTTTAAAACGACTTACAGATACAGAGTTTAATGTTCAATGTTGACTCAGTAATTTTCTAAACTAGCTGACTAACATAGTTTTTAAGCAGACATGACTTGAGTAGATAGAGCATTTGTTGGGGACTATTTTCAATGGCGGATTAATCTACATCAGTTCTATTATTTATAGCAGCTAAAGGAATAAGATAAATAAGGTGTCAGCTATAAAGACCATGTTTATTTGGATCAGTTCTCTGCTACAAATGTGATTCTGAGTGAACTACTCTTTATTATGTGTACAGCTGTAGAGCTCAGTACCACAGGGGTCATGTAACACAAACACACAATATGCTGAATAAATTATCACATTAATAAGTGAACAAATGAACCATCCTTCCACTCTTCCTTGTTCAGCACCAAACCCTCAGTAGATGAGATCCGGCTCTGGGCTCAGTCCTTTGACAAACTGATGAGGAACCCGGCAGGTCGAAATGTTTTTCGGGAATTCCTGCGGACAGAGTACAGTGAGGAGAACATGCTGTTCTGGCTGGCCTGCGAAGACCTCAAACAAGAAAACAACAAGAATGCCATCGAGGAGAAAGCACGCTCCATCTATGAGGAATACATTTCCATACTGTCTCCAAAAGAGGTAGGAGTTGGTCTATTTAAGCTGGGTTTACAGGACCTTTCCAAGTCTTAGCCCATTAGATACAAAGATCTTTAGATAACCCTTTAGATTTGGCCCTGGTGACCTTTCACTGCCATCATCACATTTAACTTCCAGAATTTTTCTTTGTAATTTACCTTTGATTTTACACTCATTGGTCACTTTATTAGGTACAGTTGTATGCACTGCAGTGCAACACTTCCACCTTAACATGTGTTTATGAAGCTCAAAATGTCTCAGTTTTTGGTGAAATTGTCATAAATGTATAAATTCAATCATATGTTTATTACTGAAGTCACAGTTGAAGGTAGGGTTGTACTGGACTACATTATATTAAGAGACATTTTTGTCCTCCCCAGCCACATACATGAGAGGGTCAGAATATTAGGAACACCTATATATACAAATATGTATAATTGAATTTATACATTTATGACAGTTTCACTAAAAACTGAAACATTTTGAGCTTCATAAACACAGATGTTAAGGTGGAAGTGTTGCCTTAAGGTGCATTCAGTTTTACAGGTGTACGTAATAAAGTGGCTGGTGAGTGTATAACATACTGTCGGTCATAAACACAGTGCTTTCTGACAGCTGTCACATGTACCCTAAATCTCTCAAATGCACTAAGGAAGCTTTGCCAACCTCTGCCATGTGGCAACACTTCTCCTTTCCCAGGTAAACTATACTGAGTAAAGTAAAGTAAAGGACTTCTACATTTCTGTGGGATTCCCTGTCAGACTGCTCTCACGGTCGCAGTTTTCAGACTTGTGTCATTCCAAGAGACAGTTGTTTTTTAATCCCTCCAGGATGTTGAATCATCAAGCTAACATTGCTCAAGGTCTGTTTTAGTGTTGCAGCAATATAGTGATTTTTAACTAAGGGAGCTATAGTGTTTTGTAAATTTTTTTGATTTTTGCAACATGTATCTGGAGCATTTTGTTTACTGGTGTGGTTGTTACTTCATCTTTGCCACACTGTCAGTTTCTGTCTGCTTGTATTGATATCCTCAGAGAATCATTTCTGATTTCCTGTAGTAGTTTCAACAGGCTGTAATTCCCACTTGTGCAAAGGAAACTGATAGACTGCCACAAAATATACGGACCACACTTCCACTCCCCCATGAGGAAACCCTAAGATTTTTTCCACCACTGTCATCGCAAGCATAACAATTTTAGTCCTATCACTGATGAGGTTTTAAAAATATATACAGTAAATCATCAGTATAGAGCTGCCTCACGTCAGAAGTCAGTTAATCAATTAATTGGACTATTTTAATGTTATTGGATATTTTTGATTTTCATGTTGTTCATTATAGTGAATTAAAAAAGCGTTTTCTGGTGTTGTATAGACCAGTCATTTAATACAATAATTGTTAATTGCAGCCCCACATCAATATGTTATTTATTCTGTCTAACATTTTCAAATAGTGAATAATACGTCTTGTTTTAAGTTTCTATCTTCTTCTTCTTCTTCAGTTCTTTGTGCACACCACACATTTAGTGCTTCCAATTAGTCAGCAGTTCTGCACATGCTCAATGTTCACACCCACATCTTCCTTAAGAAATTAATTCTTGCTGATTGACCCAGTGATTTCTGCTGGTTGTAAACGTAGACATGCTGTAGTGCACACAAGAAATGAATGTGGAAAGCACTGTCTGCTTAACTGCTATTTTGATGGAGTACGGTATGTGTGTTTAACAGTGCTTGCTTTATTTAGAGGCTTTTCAGACTTCATCTCTAGTGTGTGTGTGTTTTGGCATGTTTAGAGACTGATGTGTTTGTATGTACAGTTGTCTGCAAATGTGTTAGAGTGTGTGTTTGCAGGAGGTTGCTGCCCTCATCACCTTCAGGCAGTAGAGGCTTTTTATAAACACACACATACTGACAAATGCAGAGATATCCAGACGTGTGAGTTTGGCAGAGAAGACGCATGCCTGCATGTTTGACCTCGGTACAGTGCTTATCTCTCTTTCGCTGAGTGTGTGTGTGTCTTTCCCAAATAAGAGCAGGGTGAAAACATGAGAGAAAGCTTGTCATTCTATAAATATCAGCTGGTGCTGTGGCTGAGGGGCTAGCGCAGATAAGTGCATGTATTTATGCCTCTATGGAAGTTTATTAATGACAAAACTAGAGAGCAGAAGATGAACTTTAGTCAACCTGACTAACAAGACAGATATGGAGGTGCAGTGCAATATTTAAGCACAGAACCCAGATGTGCTTGCACCCTGTTTTAAATCAGCTCTCATAAATTTTTTACAGTTGTGAAACTAGAAAGAGTGAAATGATTAGCACAGTCGATTGACAGAAAATAAATCAGCTTTGTCAGTTAAGTTCAATTTTCAATTCAATTTTATAATTCAAAAGTCGTCTCAGGGTACATTACAAAGTCTAGACCTAGTAACGTCTAGACCTTACTATCATTATTATTATTATTATTATAACTTTTTGCATTTACAACAATGGAAGAGAGTGAGTTGTCTGATGTTCAGGAACTCATCTCTGATGAATGTAGTCCAAGATTGGCTGCAGAAAACTGAGAAAGTAAGAAAAACCTACAAACACAATAGAGAGCGCACACAAGGCTGCCGTCCACAGTGCCATCTTTTTAGGTATATATTCCAATTGCACAGTGACAGAGTTATAAACAGTAGTTCTGTTTCTCTATGTTGCAAAAAGTCTCCAAAAATGTTTCACTTTCTTCAGTAGCTGACAACTTTGTCTTTTTTGACATCGGTTATTCATGCACATTCCTAGAATGGAGGTGCAGTCATTATACAGTTGAAAAATCAACCCGTCAGTGATCTCTGATTGGAAAACTAATGTATGTAATGACGATTGTCTCTAAACTACCTCAGCCTTATCTTGGCACTTTTATACTTCACTTTCATATTATTTATTGGCTGTTATATACATGGATGCCGGTCAATCTGAAGTAAGCTAATATCAGCTGCTTTATCAGTCAAGCTCTACACTGTAGTTACACAGATAAAATCCAACAAAATAGATCTGATGCCTAAAAAGATGCTTTTGGTCACAGTCACAATTAAGTCCATATGAAAACCAACTTGTGATGCAGGCCTGTGTTTACGGCTGTATTGATTAAAATAGATTTGTGTCAATCAGTCAGCTGTGCTGAGATGGATGACTTAAAACTGTTGAAGTGGTGTTTAGTCACAATATAAGGTGCTTTGACTTGTGTTGCTGTTTGTAGCTGTTATTTGTGTTGTGGTGAGACAATGTGATTTTCCAATCACAACCCAGTGGTCAAGAATTAATGCAGTTAATCATTTTGTTTATAAAAAGTTTTAAAAAATGTAATACTGAAAAGTGACAGATGACATCTTTAGATATTTTGTTTGTGTATTTGATCAACACTCCAAAAGCCAAAGGTTCTCGTTTTACAATCATAGAAGAAAAAACTAAACTAGACAGCAAAACCACAAGGCAGCTCAGATTCCCCATAATGCCATTCCACATAAAAGCAATATTCCCACGACCGTCCTAGTATGACTTGTGTGTCTGTCAGTCAGACAGTGCTGGCCTTCGCTACACAAGGTGCAGATCCACAGTAGGGCAGACAGGAGGATGAAGCCTGTGCTTTGACTGCAGGGTTGTTTATTTGTGCTTTAAAATGTAACCACCACGAAACAGTCAGAAAATACGTTTTAATTTTCTGGTTCACTGCTTTGATTTGCTTGCGCCGCTCCCTGTCTTCATTCACACACTAGCTCACTCGACCACCTCTGCTCGTTCTCTCCATTGATGAAGAAGCTTTGAACACAGGCGGTGAAATGTGGGCACAGATAAAAATCAGCTCTGAGATACGACTTGATCCTACTGACGAGCTGCTGAATAGAACATTAACAGGATTGTGCTGCAGTTGTAGCGAGTGTGCAGGGTTAGCCGCCATGTTGGAACGGGTCTTTTGCCCACCAGGGCTCTGCAACGGTCACATGACTGAAAAATATGAATCAGCCTTATCTCAAAATGTTGAAGAGTATTTTAAAAATTTCTGGATACGGAAAAGGATCCGGATCAACACCAAAAGCTAAATGGATTGTTCCGAGAGCCATACCCTACAAAACATTTCATCAAAATCCATTCATTACTTTTTGGGTTATTCTGTGAACAAACAACAAACAAACAAGTGCCAGAGAATGTATGTGTTTTTCTTTTATTTCAACTTTTTTTTTGTAAGGGACCATGTACAATATTAAACATAAATGTTACCATTTGATGTGTATTATACCAGAGTTAGCTTAAAACTAATTTTCATCTGCAGTCCTTTGGTAGGTCATGATCAGTAACATCATCACAATAACACAAGACAAAAAAAGCTAATACAACGCAAAACAAACAGCTTTGTGTATTAGGCTTCCGACTGTCATATCTACTTAGGAGCTGGAAGAAAGAGCTATTTCTATTGTTACGCCAAAGTCCATTTTTTTATGAAAGCAGCCTCATGTCTGAAGTAATTCTCAAGGCTCTGCACATGTATGTAAATATACGAGTGTGCTGCAAACCCCTGCACCTTTAATGTGTTGTTTTCTTTCTTCACTAAACTAAACTAAATTTCCCCCCAGGTGAGTCTGGATGCCCGGGTTCGAGAGGTGATCAACAGGAAGATGCAGGACCCAACACCGCACACATTTGAAGATGCCCAGCTGCAGATCTACACACTGATGCACAGGGACTCCTACCCGCGATTCCTCTCCTCCAACATCTACAAGTCGCTCATTCACGGCGGGTCACGTACCTCCTCGGAATCCTAGTCCCAAACCAGCTCCTCTCCTTCAGATCCTGCATTTACAGGATTGATGCCAAATCATTTCACTGCTTCTCTTGCACACTCCTTCCAGTCCAAAACTTTCCAAAAACTCCTCTGTTCATTTCTTTTTTTTCAGAATCTCAAATTTCTCTAATTACTGCCAAGACTTTCTTCTCTTTACTCCTCTTCATGTCCTAAACTTTTAGTACCATTACCAAGACCTCTCTCTTCCTTATTCCATCTATTCTATGTCTTGTCATTAAATCTTCTATTTTCTTGTTTCCCCTAATTCCATTCCATTCTCCTCTGCAGTGCAATGCAGTATTCTGAAAAATTTTAGAGAAAGTTGTTGAATTTAATTAGACATTTTTAGAAAGGTCTCTAAAACTGTAGTTATACCATCACAGGACATTGCAAGGTTCTGTTCATGAAATTTTAATTGATAGTGGTTCAAATTTTAAAGTAGTATACATTACATAGTCACCGATTTGTTTGTTTGTTTTTTTTTGTTTTTGCCTGTGCCAGTTTGTGAATAGAGCCAAATATTTGATAGTAACAGACATGCACATAAATAACATAATCTTTAGAAAAAAGTGTAAGTGGCCCAGTTTAAAAAAAAAGGTATAATGATAAATTAGGTCCACTTGTGAACTTTTCTAGAAGTTTCAACCTCAACTCACAGTCTTCCTCATCAATTAGCAGTTGCACAGTTTGAACGTTCTGAGCAAGCTCCACTCACTGAGGATTCACTGTGAACTGGCCTAAGACATGATGATGTAATGCACTGTTTACCGCGGTGCTTTGTGGGTGAAAGGTGGGGACAGCATAAGGCACGCCATCGCTACAAGCAGTGACAAGTAATGTTAACGTTCATTCGTATGGAAAAATCATCCTCAAAAAGATATTAAATAATTTGTGCTAATTATTGCTTGCCATTGTGTATAAAGCACACGGCGAATGTCAGAACTGTATTTTTCAAGCTTCCATGAGACAGCAAGAGGTGACCAAAATGGATTCAGTCAGAAATAAGGCCATTCAAACATCAAACCATTGTAAGATCTTTTTGATGATAATTTTTCCATGCGAATGAATGTTAATCTAACATAAAGGTAACTTGTTCACTGCTTTTCACCCACAATGCATCATGGTAAGCATTGGATTACTTCATTATGTTTTAGGACCATTGCGGTCAAAAGCTTTGGGAAAACCCAGTTTTTAAAAACAAAAAAAGGATAGCAATTCACAGACAGGTGACAACTTAAAGGAAATAACCTGAATAAACAAGTAGCCTCTTCCAGGATCTCAATGATCTCAAACCTCGTTTTTTGTGTTGTAACATCTTTACTAACCAGCTTATGCACAGTTAGCTACACTATAAATCTGTGGTAATTAATACTGCCCAGTAATCTTTATGAATATATGTTTACTGGGTGTTCACTGGGCCCCATATAGGTCAGACTACTGTGTCCAAGGTCAAGAAGGGACTTTAACAATTTTGATCAGGGTCCCTTAAGTTTGGTTATTTATGAGATGTAGAATATGTACCGAGTGGGACATTTCACAATTAAGAAATAAACCTATACTTAAGCCATTTCATTACTGGCTATGCAGATATACATAGAAGTTGGGCTCTATTTATAAACTCCCTGGTATTAGTTTGATTTTCAGCTTCCATCCTGTCCTTAAGGTTCCTAAAGCTGATGAATGTATGTTCCCACCTATCCTTCTCTTCATCCTGGTACCTAATCTTCTCCTCTCTAATCTCTCTTTTTGTTCTTCACGATTCCTGAACAGAGAAGAAAGTGATCTGAGATGTTCAAGCATTTCTTTGGGATATCATCTGCTGTTATATAGAGATGTACATATTAATTTTGGAGATTTCAACACATTTCAAGAGGAAAAATATTCATCAGTGCCATGGATTCCTAGTGGATTTTTACCAGTATACCCATACCCATGACCATCCTACCACCTTTAAGAGCCAGGTAAAGGTGGATGCCTCGAATTCCACTCACCTCATGGCCTTGTTTCATCCTATGGTTGCCTCTACTTTGACAGAGAGATGAAAGGAAAAGATGGATACAGCCTCATTCCCTCTCTTTCTCTTTTTCATTTTCTCTCCTTCAGCTGGAAAACACAGGGTGCTCACTCCATCCCCCATGACAAACGGCAAAATTGTTTCTTTTTTGTTTATTTCTGCCGTCTTGTTCACTGGTTCGATCATTTCACTCCTATGATAAACAAATGGACGAACGGATGGATGTCTCTTACTTCCGACTACTGATTTATAGATCCAGTAGACCAGACGTTTATTTTTTAAGAGAAAACTCTGTATGGAACATTTTAATAATGTTGATTTTTTTGTTTTGTTTTTGTTGTTTTTTTTTCTCCCCTTCTTGAATTATTTGCAGGGGGAATAGGATTTCCTCTGAGACTGTACTGATCCCCATCCGACGCCACAGACACTGCAATAAAACAACAAAAAACACACATACTGTACAGTACATATACATGAACACATTTATAAAATTTGTCTTACTATACCTTAAGCAAACCTGTCAATAAAAACTCTTCCAGTCGGACCATTAGTCAGGTCCACTAAAATAACAGATATCTGTTTCAGATTAAAAGAAAAAAGTTTCCTCAGGATCACGGTGTAGTATTTCAGAAATGTAGAGGATGTATGGTGTGAAACATTTCTCATTTTTTAGTCAAGTAACTATGAAGCAAATGTCTACTCTGACCATTTATAAAGAAATCATGCACCTCCCTGAGGTCTGTTACAGTTTATAACCACTATAGACAGGTACCATTATTTAAAATATAGCAATTGTTATAAAATCAAGTCACTCCTAGGCCTACCACAGTTAAGCTGATCAGGTTTTAAACAGAGAAAGAAAAAAATAGATGCTTTTTTTTTTTTTTTTTTTTTCTTTGTATTTATATACTACAGTATGACAGTCTTGGGATAAAAAAAAGCATCGTCTATAATGTGTGTACCAAATTTCAGGTTGATCGATAGAAGTGATTTTCTGTTAGCATAAAGCAATACTGCACGTCACCAGCAGGTGGCTATGGCGCATTACAAAATTTCAAGGCAAAAAGCCAGAAAAAGGTTTTCACAGCAGCAGCATTTCGATCTATACAAGACGGGCATTACCGTCAGGTTTTGATAATGCCTGGCGAAGATCTTGTATAGATCGAAACGGTGCTCGACTTCATGAGCTTCTTTACAAATAAAATCACAACTATTAGAGAAAAAATTGGTCGGACCACTCCCACAGCTCTCGCAGATGTGCCATCTACTACAATGGCTTTAGAAACATCTGTAAGACCTCATTTATACTTGGACTACTTCTCCCCTATAGATCTCTCTGAGTTGACCTCAACAATTGCTTCATCTAAATCATCAACATGTCTCCTGGACCCCATCCCGACCAGGCTGCTCAAAGACGGCTTGCCCCTAATCAACACATCCATACTAGATCTGATTAACCTCTCTCTATTAACAGGCTATGTGTCATGATTCGGTCCAGCTTTTATTTTGACGTTGCTTCCTGTTTTTGTTTTCACCTTAGTTTCGGTCTTTTTACGTTCTTCATCACTCGCATTAGTTTCGCCTGCTCCTTATTGTTTATACCTCTATTTAGGCAGCGTCCTCCCACAACGGCGCTGCCAGATTGTTCTAGACCGCAGCTCTGACTCTCCAGCTTTCCTTCGGTTTTGTATCTTGTGTTTCTGACCCGGACTGTTACCTTGGTATATTCGTTTCTGCTTTGCCCTCTTGTCTCAGACTGCCACAGTGTATGATATCGGACTTCCCTCTGGACTACGTATTTTGGATCACCTCTGTTGGATGTGTTTGCTGGCTCTGACCTCAGACTGTTAATAAGGACATGTGAGTTTTGTGTTTTCACCGTGTCTTGTATGTTTTTCTTTCGTTCGACGTTATACACTTC